TAACAGCATTTTAAGTTTGTGGGTAAGAGAAGTTATCAATGGTGTGAACAAGTTTGAACAACTCGCAATTGTGATTCTTGGTTTTTTGTGGTGTTCTCGATTTATCTGTGCTTTTATTGATCTTGGCAGGGTGCCCAGGAAATTTTACATTTTTACCAAACGAAGAATATGATAGATAACAGAACTCGAGCGCTGACCCCTGGCAGAATAAAAAAGAACATCAAACTTCTAGATCTTCTTCTTCTGTTGAGGCATTTTATTTGTTTTTATTGTATGTTTTTGCCAGGCAGTTTGGTCGTTGCAGTCATGAGAGTTGCACATTCAATAGTTTAAATTATTTAGTTGTTGATTATTTAGCATTATAAAAACAATTCACACAACAAGCGTAGGAACTCGCTCTCAAACACAAACTTTTAAGCAATAGATTCTTCAGTGGCCTCAGTGCCAATATATTTGATGACCATAGTCACATCCAGACGAGATTCTCCAATCTGAGAAACATCAGCTCCACTCGATCGCCTCGTTTCCATCAGGTACCAATCCCACCTTTCTGACCAGGCATCCCCACTTGGGCAACGTTATCTATGCGGTAAACGAAGTGGAGAGTGGCGCTCTCGAGGCATTCTCCTTCTCTCCACATCTCTCTCGTCTCGGCCACCCCATCCCTTGTGGCTCGGTCCCGCCTGCGATCAGCCAGCGGCAAGTGGATCTTGTTTGCGAACTGCAGGGGTGGAGCTATGGCGTTCTCCAGGTCACCAGCAGCCGGTTTCGCTGATCAAGGTTCCAGGTCTCACGGGGCCGAGGAACAATCCCCGGCAAAACGGTCCTCATCCCCATCAGATCATCACGGACTCCTTGGTCTTCGTCTGTGATCTCGGCACCGATAAGATCCACGATCGATTTCTCAACGTCCCGACTGGAGGCCGCGACTCAGGAGGTTTCACTTGAGTCTGGCTCGGGTCCTCGGCATATGATCTTCTCCCGCGACGAGCGATTCTTGCGTTTGATCCAGAGCTGGTTCACTCTGGATGATAGCGTAGCGAACAAGAGTGCGTGCATAGCGGCGGAAGTGGCTCTCTCGCTGGCCATTCCAACCTACAGGAGTGGTGAGGAGTTTCGAGATGAAAGAGGCCTCTCAGTGCGCTTTTCATCGACGTTCAAAATAGAGCGTGAGTTATCAGGCCATCCGCTAAAGGGGAGTTCCTTGAACTGGAGATTTTTCACGCTCGCTGTATGAGTGGGACTTTCAAATAAGAAAGTTTCAGTCCTCTTCATTGGCATGGAAGAAAGATTTGCGAAAAACAAATTGTGGTTCAATGCCGATGAAACAGTGACATCCAACAATTCATTTTTAGTATTATAGATTACGTATATTTTCTGTTTGCCACAGCTTCATAATCCTTGTGAGTGACTTTATATCTTCCTAAAAGATGGTCGCCACTCTTGGCAGGAGGGAATCTATCACAAAGCAAGCAAACTTAGAAATACCACCAGGAGAAAGCTAGCTACATACTTTGATGGATTCAGCTCGCTGCAACACGTTGGAATACACTCCACAATGCAGTCAAAATTTGGCCCCATGAAGAAAGCAATCTGTCGAAAGTAATCCATCACGATTCTAAACACGTCAAGCATTTTGCTCACCGAGTAGCGTTCGACCCCATAGTTGAGCACCCGGTGCAATGTTGACCTTGATAGACAATGTGAACCAACGTAGAGTCTCAAACAATCTCAATATTTCTACCTGAAAAGGTTGTTTGTCCAGCGCTCTAGCATATCTCCCAAATTGACTATAAATGCCCTGCTCATCAAATCCATAGGTAAGTGGGCTTCATAGCTAGTCCTCAAACCCACCCTTTCAGTGGCTGGACATTAGTCCAGACTTGCTCCTTTGCATCCTTCTCCTTGCAAATCTATCCTTTCCAAGTGCCGATCATAATTTTTATTATTAGAACACGTGCACCTACCTGGAGACCAGGAACGCCATCGCTGGCGAGAAGTGTGAGCATTCCATAGTCACTGTGCGCACCAGCACCAAAAAATCCCTCTTCCGGATTGGAAGCTTGAGCTGTATCGAGGACAAAGGAAAAAACTATCAAAAGATCTCAATTAACTTACCTGGATAGTGAAGCAAACGAACCGCTGCCATGGCGTGGTCAAACATCCCAGGCTTGTCGAAAAACGATTCTTCTAGTTCCAACGCTAGCGCAATGAGCTTGATTAGTTTCCGCGAGAGCTTTCTGCAAGGCAAAGTCTTGTTCTTTGTTCAAGAAGAGAAAAAGAGAAATATACGTACTCGGCCTGGTCGAAATACATTTCCATTGTTTGCTTCCATTCTGGGAGTGTATCTGGCAAAGTTTGGAGAAAAACAAACACAGTAATGTTTAGAAGAAGGACCAGAAGAAAATCAAACCAGGAGATGGCCATTGATTCGGTCCTTGCAAAGGATCCTTCGCTCTGGGATCACTCCCTGAAACTTCGCGTCGAATATAATATCCTTCCTTCGCATCCCCTGTTCTCGACATGAAAAACACGATGAGCATCACACAACACAAACGTTTGTACCAAGGCGCTGCTTTGCCGGATCCAGTTTCTCGTCAAAGATCGGGGTGTAGCCCCGGAAGTTCTCATCCTGGTAGACCTTCATCTTCTCCTCCAAGGGAAGCGTGAAGAATTTCCGGCTCTGCTCAAACACCTGTGCCATAAACTCCTCGCTTATCCCGTGGTTCACAACATAGAAGAACCCCGTCTCCAGGCAGGCCTAAATCACGAGATTTCCACGCGAAAATGGAAAACCGACCGATCGATCGACCGTTACCTTCCTCAGCTGTTGCGCCAGACGCTCCACGTCCGGGCAGGAGAGATCGATGCATTCTAGCCGCTCGGCGCCCGCTACTCCCATCTCTCCAATTCCCCAGACAAAAACCCCTAAAGCATAATGCATCTGATAAACATCGAATATACCTCTTTCAAAAACAAAAAGGACATATACCGTCCCTAAAAGCATATCTTACTTGAGAAAAAGAAGATTCCTCGTCACCACCAGCATTCTTTTGCGCCCAAACGCTCCAGTCTAGAAGGAATAGGTTCTATTACAGAATGGACAATCCACGGGCTCTCTACGTCTGCCTGTAGGACCCAAAGCCAAAAACAATTGAGGAAAAAACCAGAGAGAGCTCGATATTAAAAAGGTAGATATTTACCTTACCACTCGACGTTGGCATTCTCTCCATGAGAGGAATCGGAGCCAAAGGAGTAGCCGGAGTGAAAGTAGTGGGCGTTGGAACCGGAGTATGCTCGCTGCTCTTGGCGCTGCGCTTGCTTGCCTTCGCTGAAGGACGCTTTCTTTTCGTTTCGCCGCGAGCTTTCTCTGCCTCGTTTGCTGCTTCTTGAGAGCTCATCACTCCCTCCGAAGTGATGATCTCACTGGAGAAGGATCCTGCTGAATGACGGGAGGAGTTTGGGCCTGCGAGCTTCTTCAGCTCGCTGTTTTCTTCTGACCACCTGTTTCTTCCAACGTTTTGCGTCTCCGGGACGACGTCCAGCTCCGGGACTGGTCGACTGGAGCTCGCTCAAGTACTCTGAGGAGAAATCCTCGCAGAACCGCCATTGATTCCAGGTAAGCTAGTCTCTTCAGTTTCGTATTTACACGCTGATACCTGACAATTGAACTTGCAGGTTCCAGATGTTTGTTGATAAAAACGACGGCTTGGACTCGCACTTTACAGCACGGTGCTCCTCTCAACCTTATTTTGAAGTCCATATCCGATTCCTGTTCACTCGGATCGGAACTGGAAGCGGTTTTAGCTGGAGGTTTTCCTCGCTTACACGTCCCAGAAAGGCGCCTGTCTCTTGCTCTCCCAGATTTTGGTGGCTGAGAGCTTGACAATTCCTGCTCTGAGTCGGATTCCAAAATGCGTTGTGACTGAGCCTTGGTCCTGAAAAGTAGGCCCACTCTGGCAATATTCAGACAATACAGCCCCATCATATCTCCTCCCACACGTAATCGTATTGCCTACTGAGTCTGCAATCATGCACATCTACTGAAATTAGTGTCTTGTTTACCAGAAACATAGTAGATATTGTGTATACTCACAATATCATGAACAATATTATTGTAAAGTTGGTGGACTTTTTTCTAGTGGCCGCTCTTTGTGTCTTGGCTTTTCTTGCCTCTTTGGCTCTCTCATCTCTTGTCTGCACAAATTGTTTTTATTTTTCTTCTTGACTTAAAATATAATATACCTTTAAATAAAGTATATTTTCTACTTCTAAAATTAAAATTATATAGTTTAGTGCTACCCAGTCTTTTGCTATTCTCTAATCTACATCATTGTTGCCTAGTTTGATTGTTGCCTGGTTTGAGGTCTCTCTCAATCACTTCTTAGAGATCCTTTCCCATGAAGTAGAATTAAGACTTTCTAGCTATACACCTAGGCATTGCCAGGCTCTTATGGAAGAAACAAAGCTAAACTAGCCAAAAGTCACAATGGTCGACCTGGAAGGAAGCTAGAACATTCCCTCAATAAATTGGAACCTGTCACTCCAGCAATGTGCCACCTTGAGGATCATCCTCTAGATCAAGGCCATCTCTCACAGATTTGTAGTCCAAAAACATTGACAGCCAGTGCTCCCTGTTTTAACATTTGCAAGATTAGAACCGATGCAATGCAGTGCAATGGAAGTGGCATACCTTCTTCTTCATGGCTTTTACAAACTTCACGTTCACCATTCCACCCTACAGCAGTGGTGAAACCAATGAGGACTTTCGAGATGAAAGAGGCTGCTCGGTGCGCATTTCATCGACATTCTCCTTGAGGTACTGAAAAATAGAGCACGAGTTATCAGGCCATCCGCTAAAGAGGATTTTCGGGAGTTTCTTGCACTGGAGATTTCTCATGCTTGCTGTATGAGTGGGACTTCCAAATAAGAGAGTCTCAATCTTCTTCATTGGCGTGGAAGAGAAAGACTTGTGCCATGGTTCAATGCCGATGAAACAGTGACATCCAACAATTCATTTTTAGTATTATAGATTACGTATATTTTCGGTTTGCCACAGCTTCATAATCCTTGTGAGTGACTTTATATCTTCCTAAAAGATGGTCGCCACTCTTAGCAGGAGGGAATCTATCACAAAGCAAGCAAACTTAGAAATACCACCAGGAGAAAGCTAGCTACATACTTTGATGGATTCAGCTCGCTGCAACACGTTGGAATGCACTCCACAATGCAGTCAAAATTTGGCCCCATGAAGAAAGCAATCTGTCGAAAGTAATCCATCACGATTCTAAACACGTCAAGCATTTTGCTCACCGAGTAGCGTTCGACCCCATAGTTGAGCACCCGGTGCAATGTTGACCTTGATAGACAATGTGAATCAACGTCAGAGTCTCAAACAATCGCAATATTTCTACCTGAAAAGGTTGTTTGTCCAGCGCTCTAGCATATCTCCCAAGTTGACTATAAATGCCCTGCTCATCAAATCCATAGGTAAGTGGGCTTCATAGCTAGTCCTCAAACCCACCCTTTCAGTGGCTGGACATTAGTCCAGACTTGCTCCTTTGCATCCTTCTCCTTGCAAATCTATTCTTTCCAAGTGCTGATCATAATTTTTATTATTAGAACACGTTGACCTACCTGGAGACCAGGAACGCCATCGCTGGCGAGAAGTGTGAGCATTCCGTAGTCACTGTGCGCACCAGCACCAAAAAATCCCTCTTCCGGATTGGAAGCTTGAGCTGTATCGAGGACAAAGGAAAAAACTATCAAAATATCTCGATTAACTTACCTGGATAGTGAAGCAAACGAACCGCTGCCATGGCGTGGTCAAACATCCCAGGCTTGTCGAAAAACGATTCTTCTAGTTCCAACGCTAGCGCAATGAGCTTGATTAGTTTCCGCGAGAGCTTTCTGCAATCCAAAGTCTTGTTCTTTGTTCAAGAAGAGAAAAAGAGAAATATACGTACTCGGCCTGGTCGAAATACATTTCCATTGTTTGCTTCCATTCTGGGAGTGTATCTGGCAAAATTTGGAGAAAAACAAACACAGTAACGTTTAGAAGAAGGACAAAAAGAAAATCAAACCAGGAGATGGCCATTGATTCGGTCCTTGCAAAGGATCCTTCGCTCTGGGATCACTCCCTGAAACTTCGCGTCGAATATAATATCCTTCCTTCGCATCCCCTGTTCTCGACATGAAAAACACGATGAGCATCACACAACACAAACGTTTGTACCAAGGCGCTGCTTTGCCGGATCCAGTTTCTCGTCAAAGATCGGGGTGTAGCCCCGGACGTTCTCATCCTGGTAGACCTTCATCTTCTCCTCCAAGGGAAGCGTGAAGAATTTCCGGCTCTGCTCAAACACCTGTGCCATAAACTCCTCGCTTATCCCGTGGTTCACAACATAGAAGAACCCCGTCTCCAGGCAGGCCTAAATCACGAGATTTCCACACGCGAAAATCGAAAACCGACCGATCGACCGTTACCTTCCTGAGCTGCTGCGCCAGGCGCTCCACGTCCGGGCAGGAGAGATCGACGCATTCTAGCCGCTCGGCGCCCGCCACTCCCATCTCTCCAATTCCTCAGACAAAAACCCCTAAAGCATAATGGATCTGATAAACATCGAATATACCTCTTTCAATAAACAAAACCGTCTTATAGACGGAATACCCTAAAAGCATATCCTACTTTTGAAAAAGTAGATTCCTCTTTCTTCCAGCTACCACAAGCTTTCTTATGCGCCCAAAACGCTCAGTCTGGTAGGAATAGGTTCTACCACAGAATGGACAATCCACGGGCTCTCTACGCCTGCCTGTAAAGAAAGTAAAAACAAATCGAGGAAAAAACCAGAGAGAGCGCGATAATAAAAAGGTGAGAGCGAGAAGATATTTACCTACGCTTCTTCTTACCACTCGACGTTGGCATTCTCTCCATGAGTGGAATCGGAGCCAAAGGAGTAGTCGGAGATGGAGCCGGAGTGAAAGTAGTGCGCGTTGGAGCCGGAGTTTGCTCGCTGCTCTTGGCGCGGCGCTTGCTTGCCTTCGCTGAAGGACGCTTTCTTTTCGTTTCGCCGCGAGCTTTCTCTGCCTCTGGCGCTGCTTCTTGAGAGCTCACCACTCCTTCCGGAGTGATGATCATCACTGGAGAAGGATCCTGCTGAATGACCGGAGGAGTTTGGGCCTGCGAGCTTCTTCGGCTCGCTGTTTTCTTCTTCTGACCACCTTGAGGGCCCGTCAAAGTTTCTTCCACGTTTTGCGTCTCCGGGACAACGTCCGGCTCCGTGACCAGTCGACTGGAGCTCCGTGCTGTAAAGAGCGAGTCCAAGCCGTCGTTTTTATCAACAAACATCTGGAACCTGCAAGTTCAATTGTCAAGTATCAGCGTTCGAAGACGAAACTGAACAGACTAGCTTACCTGGAATCAACGGCGGTTCTGCGAGGATTTCTCCTCGGAGTACTTGCTCCTTTCAACCTTAGTTTGAAGTCCGTATCCGATTCCTCTTCGCTAGCATCGGAACCGGAAGCGGTTTTAGCTGGAGGTTTTCCTCGCTTACGCGTCCCAGAAAGGCGCCTGTCTCTTGCTTTCCCAGATTTTGGTGGCTGAGAGCTTGGCAACTCCTGCTCCGAGTCGGATTGAGACGCTGCACGACTCTCAAGCCTCTGCTTCTGTGAACTGGAAACGCTTGTCTTCTTTTTAACCGCAGTAGCCTGCTTCGCAGCAGTATTCGTCTGATTTTGCGGTGGGGCCTGAGTCTGAGTTTGAGTTTCTTCGGCTTCTTCGTCCTCGCTATTGCCTGTTTTTTTGGCTCCAAGATTATGCAGGGCATCGTCTTCGTCCTCGTCGGAAACGCTCGCAGTAACCTGCTTTGCGACGGTCTTCGTCTGACTTTGCAGAGAAGCCCGAGCCTTAGTGTGAGTTTCTACGGCGTCGGCCTCTTCATCCTCGCTACCGCCTGTTTTTTTTCCTCCAGGCTTATGCTGTGCATCGTCTTTGTCCACGTCGGTCGTCTTCTTTCTACCCGCAGTAGCCTGTTTCGCGGCACTCTTCTTCTGACTTTGCAGCGGAGCCTGCGTCTCAGTTTGATATTCTACGGCGTCGGCCTCTTCATCCTCGCTACTTGAACTGGAACTGCCTATTTTTTTTCCTCCAACTGTAGCAGCCTTTTCTTGATTCTTTTCCACCGGAACTTGAGTGTCGTCCTCGCTATCTGAATCAGAAGTAGCATTGCCTGTTTTTTTTCGTCCAACTGTGGCAGCCTCTTCTTGATTCTTTTCCACCGGAAGTTCTTCTCCGTCCTCACTATCTGAATCGGAAGTAGCACTGCCTGTTTTTTTTACTCCAACTGTAGCAGCCTCTTCTTGAGGCTTTTCCACCGGAACTTGAGTGTCGTCCTCGCTATCTGAATCGGAAGTAGCAGTGCCTGTGTTTCTTAATCCAACTGTAGCAGCCTCTTCTTGTTTCTTTCCCACCGGAGCTTGGGTGGCGGCTTCTTCGTCCTCGCTATCTGAATCGGAAGTAACAGTCTTCCTTTTTCCAACCGCCTCTTTCATAGGAGCCTTCACCTGGCTTGATGCGGCATTCTCCACGGGAGCTTGAGACTCGTCCTCTTCGCTATCTGAACCAGAAGCTTCAGAAGAAAAATGCTGACTTATGACGTTGTCACACAAGTTGTCCAAGACAGGTCCATCAGCAGCGTCACCATCTGCATGCTCTGGCTCCTTGTCATCGACTGGCTCCTTGAACTCCTCATTTTTCAAGGCTCCGCCTTCACTGTTTTCAGCTTTATCAGTCTCTTCGGCTTGATCACTTTCTTCGGCTTCATCACCTTCTTCGGCTTCTTCCGTTTCTTCGTTTTCCAGCTCCGCAGTGATTGCATCCACTCTCGACCTCTTGGGCGATGCATCCAAAGACCCGTCCTGTTTTCGCTTGGCTGTAGGCTTCTCGGCTATAAAATCGTGTCCTGAGGCACTGCCATTGCCATCAGTAGCAACAGGCTCATCGATTCGAGTAGGCTCGCCACTAGCTTTCGCGTTCGAGCGATCTTCAGTTCCCTCAGAGGAGCCGAGAAGAATATTAAGCACTGATGACGCTGTCGCATCCTTCTGAGCCTCCATCTCTCCTACATTTTTCTCAGAACTGCCTTTCTCGGTTTCTAGCTCCTTCTCGTGCAGTCCTGCCTCTACTTGCTTTTCCTCGTTTTCTTGTCGCTCATCTCTCCTGCCTTCTAGTTCATCATCCTCCTCCTCTTCGGACCCTTCCGAATCGTCCATACTCGATTCTAGTTTCTGTCCCTCCCTTCCAGCTCCTTCTACCTCGTCTCTCCCTGTTTCAAACTCCTTTTCATCGTTACCACCCTCCACAGTTTTTTCTCCCATCTCCTTCATAGCTTCCACTTCTGTTTCCTGTGCGGTCGCCGCCGCAGGCTCGGACACGGAAACATCCACCACGTTGCAGTCGCTCGTCGCGAGTTTCACTGGAGGAGGAGAAACCCCTCGACAACCGTTCTGCGACTTATCGGCTGGATCTTCAGAAGGCATGTCGTACGATCGTCGCAGAGAAGAGGCGGACCTTGTCTCCTGTCCGTTACTCTCAGGGATGTCCATTTCCGCCACTGCTCTAGAGTGGGGCTCAGAACTATCCACCATCTGAACGTCGTTACATCGCAGAGAAGGGCCGGACCTTGTTTCCTGTCCGCTACTCTCGGCGACATCGGTTTCCGCCACTGCTCTAGACTCGGGCTCAGAACCATCCACCATCTGGACGTCGTCATTCCTTTCGTCCGCGGCAGATCCAACCAAAACCTCGTTCGCAGGAGGAGCAGTGATCCTCACCCCTTGAGCATTGTTCACCACCCTTCCAGGACCAGTTCCACGAATGTCCTCCATCTCCTCGAGGGTTCGTCGCAAACTAGTCACGGCTCTGCCAAGTCTACTCTCCTCTCTGGCCGGCTGCTGACGCACATCCTCTCCGGCCGCAAGCTCCCTTCTCGCGGGAGTCCCGGATGGAGAAGGATCCACAACTTCCTCCAGTTCCTCGAAAAGCTCGACTCTAAATCGCGCATCGGTTCCTTGAGCAGCCGTTCCAATGTTGCCATGGGTGAAAGCATACCAATACCCCGCAACCATGATCTGGAAAACACACAAGAAATCTCAGAAACTTCCCAGAGCTTTTTCTCCAGCGGTTTCGTACCATGATGTTCTTGATGCCTACATTTCCGTGCTCCGGAAAATTGGTAGAATGCACAGCCCTCACCCTCTCTGCAAGAAGAAAAAGCCCTCAAGTACCCGGCGATCATCGATCGATCGATCGAGCTTCATACCTCTAAACTCCTCCGCCGATGTCCCGGACGGCACTATAACGAGCATCCGCGTGCCGCGATTCGTCTCCACGCATGCGCGGCACAAAGCCGCCGCTTGATCGACCCCGCGCATGAAATCCATGGCGCTCTTCCCTTCCTTTCACACACCCTAAACCCTACTTAGCTCACACACACCGAAAAATGTGGCATAACGTTTCACATAGAACATTCCACATGAATCTAGGGCAGACAAACTTTAAACCACGTTTCAAATAGAATATCCAAAAAGAATCTAGGGCAAACAAACTTGGTATCACATTTTTCCAGCTTTTCTCTCTCATCGTCTCAATAGAAACATATGGTGTAGATCAATCTCCGCTTGTGTTGCTTCTCAAATCTCCGCACGATATCGTCGATCTCGTCCTCCCAGTTCTTCTCGCTCTCCTCGAGCTGCAAAACACGAGAGATTCGATCAAAACCACCTTTCTAAGTGAAAAAAGAATAGAGAAATCGCGAGGGAAGTTAAGAACATAAGCTAAGAACACAAACCATCGTGATCTTTCTTTAGTAGTGTGGTGTAAACTCCCCCAGAAGTTTAAAGAACTCGCTATGTACATAGCAATGGATGGATTTTCATTCTTTCATTGATAGGGTTTAGTGATATCCCGTGCCTCCGTCAACCACATCGATTTCCAAGAGCGATCTTCCAGATCGATTCATTCTATCGAGCTTGGAGTGGAGATGAAAGAAAAAAATCCTCTTTCGTTTGTCATCTTCTTTCTAAGGAGTGTTAGCGGGACAAACACCACACGGAAAATCTCTAGCAAGCATCGCGAAGGATCAAGATTGGGATCGAGGGAGAGGAATTTTACCTTTTTGCACAAATCCAGCGCGAGCTTGGCACCAACCGCTGCTTCTTCGTGGTTGTCTTTGACGTCCAAGTTCACGACCAGCACCGTCTTGAAGAGCGTTTGCTCGCGGTTTTGGAGATCTGCCAGGAACACATGAAAAAACTAAGAACGGGCAAAAGAATTGCGAAACAAACAAGCCGAGTAAGAAAAGAAAATGTACCTTCGTTGACAAGGTCGAAAACTCTCTCCTCGAAAGTCAGCACCACATCGAAGGCGCCATCGCCAGCGTTGTCTTGCCAGCGCTGGGGAGCGTCTTTGACACTCGCGTTACGCTTGAGCATCGGTAGCAAGCCGTTCCTTTTGTATCTGCAATGGCCAATGAAGCGACAAGGTCGTGAGAAACAACGAAAAAAGAAGGGGACCACAAAAACCAAGCCCAAGAACAAGAGCAAGAAGAAAAAGGCAAAGGAAGAAACGAAGAAAAGAAAAAATCGCAAACCATACAAGTCGGGATCCTTGTTCTTGAGATCTTCGATTATCGCAGTATACGGCGTTCCAAACTGGTAGATATTGGGGTCTCGAATCGTTGGCCCCGGGAGCTTCACTTGATTGCCTGTTCCATACGAGCTCACATCTAAGCCTTCTCTTTGCAAGAGGGCGTGAGCTTCCATACTCCGATTCTGATTGGAGGCACACACCATAGCATGGCGGAGCTTCATTATCGCCGCCGCCCTACGCTAATCTAGCTACAATCTCGCCATGGAGAGCGAGAATCCTCTCAACCCTAGCCGGACCTCCTCGCGGCAGCAAAAGGAGCTTGCTCGCTGGATCGATCTGGCATCAATCGCCGAAACAAAATACCTGGCCGCGAGCGCAGCGCAGCGCAAAAAACACTCTTGATGGAGATAGAGCCTCCAATCCGATGGGCTTCTTAACCTAAACGAAGGAGAACATTCTGTCGTAAAGGCCATGAGCACATTCTGTTTCGTGCATATTCCGTTAGAGATGGTGGAATATGCCTCTAGAAACCCTGGATATGGCTTTGCGCCGGCCCCTCTTTGTGGCGAGCTAGGGTTTGGAGGCGCGCAAGTAAGTAGGCGCTCTCTCGCCTCTCGAATTCCGGCAGATCTAGATCGAGGCCGCGCGTGGTCGATCGCCATGCTCGTGTACCAGGATTTGCTGTCTGGCGACGAGCTCCTGTCGGATTCCTTCCCCTACAAGGAGATCCAGAATGGCGTGCTGTGGGAGGTCGAGGGCAAATGGGTCGTGACGGGATGCGTGGACGTGGACATCGGCGCCAATCCATCGCAGGAGGGCGGCGAGGATGACGAAGGCGTGGACGATCAGGCAGCGAAAGTGGTGGACATTGTCGACACCTTTCGCCTCCAGGAGCAGCCAGCCTTCGACAAGAAGACGTTCCTCGGCTGCATGAAGAAGTTCATCAAGAACCTCACGGAGATCCTCCCCGAGGAGGAGAAGGCCGAGTTCAAGAAGAATGTGGAGGCCGCCGTCAAGTGGATCCTCTCCAAGCTCAATGACTTCCAGTTGTAAGTTCTCTCTTCTCTCGTTTGCTCTAGGATCTGCTCCAAGCTCGATTGGAACTGATGAGATCTCTGGTGTTTTTGGTAGCTTCGTCGGCGAGAGCATGAAGGACGATGCCACGTACGTCTTGGCATACTACAAGGAAGGCAGGTCGGATCCCACCTTCATCTACTTCAAGCACGCGCTCAAGGAAGTCAAGTGCTGAGTAGCGAGTGTTCTTCGATCAATCAGTGGTTCGCAAGGGATGTTTTCTAGTATGGTTTTGTATGCTACTGGTGATATCTTAATTCGTACTCTATGATGGATCAAATTTTTTCTCCTCTTATAATCAAATCCTTTCATCCTCGTTTATTAAATCTCGGCATTTATGTTCGTTATCAAACAGCCAAAGAACGAGCGTTTAAATGCGGGCCATTCGCGGCTCCTAAGTGAGCGCTTATTGTCCTTTCTTTAGATCTAGTGTGCATTCTTGTTAAGCCGAGTATCACTTGGAAATTGCGAAGTTTTTCATAGCTCTTCCTCTTTGCTGTTCTTTCAATTCCGGTGGGGGATTTGAACGTCTCCAAGTTCTCACCGAGATAAGAGCACAGCAAAAAATAGTTTCTACTTCCCTGCTCCCAGTGTCTGATTAGGAGATTTCTTAGAGCAAGTGGTACTACTTTGTGTCCAAAGATAAGAGGCCTTTGCTGGTGTTCGTCCTGGTCGTCAAGTTATATTTTCCAGTCACAATTGCTGGAGAGTACCCATGGAACTTGGAACATCCAAGCCCGAAAAACCAAAACTGGATACAACTTTGTTTTCGCAACTGGATGTGCCACTTGAAGCACTATTAGAATGCCACTGTGACTTCCCGGTCCTATGAGAGCCAATACTGGTGGAGAGTGCTCTCATCCTAGCTTACACCATAGGACAGCAGCTTGGAGATTGGGAAGTCGCACCTGAGCATAGGGGTGCATCCAATTACAAAGTAGTACCCGTTCTGCCGGCAGCACACTGATGCCTAAAAGTCTAGCCACATCCAGAAAAGGTGGCCTCCACATGGAATTCTAAGTTCCATGAAAACCAAATGTGAACTAATTCATGTCAAGCTTTCATTTTCTTCTTCTTTTTTGAGTTTTGAGCTTGATCAAGAGCATGTTGATCGTGCAAGTATAAGGCATGTCAGATCAGACATAGCTAGAATTGTCAAGAGTGATGCTTGCAGGGATATAGTTCTAGCCAAGACGTCTAGGCCAATGCAATCCACCCAAGCTCCATATACATATGGAAGAATGCAATGTTCTCATTCTGGCAGTGGTGTTCTTAACAGGTAAAAGTGCTCAATGTCCAAGTCAAGAAAATCATTTGACTGTAGGCAGTCCTTTTTTAGGGTGAAAGGCCATTGTATATTCCTGGATTATTCATGAAGATATATTTCATTGGTTTGATTAATAATCGAGTACATTCCTCCAATATATTTGTAATCAAGGTTTACTTATCACTAATAATTTATAGCAAAGTAGTGAAAGTCAAAGAAGATGTAAACTTGTCTTCTGGGAAACTAGACTTTCAGCAAGAATTGAAATTGGCATTTGAGGTAGACAGCTTGAGCACATCCCACAATATCTGTATAGTTTTCTTATCCTTGTCATGGTTTACAAGAAAAAAATAGCAAGAAAATCGTTTCTATCTTATCATCGAATGTTCTCTGCATACACTTATGTTCACCATACTTGTTTAAACTTCCATTGAAATGTTGTCATGGATGGAAGAGAACTTGTTAGCAATTATTAAATGACAGTTGCCATATTTGCAAGAGACGACAAGGATGATCATATCGGCCATCACTGCGACTGGGATTGTGAATCAATTGTCAATCAATCACCCGCTCACCAAGCATGCTGTGGAATTTTTCTGGATTCTTTACCAGTATAGAATAAACTGGCAATCCTAAAATCCTACACTGAGGTTGATGGCACTCTTGTCGCTTGAGGAGCTCTTGCCGCATCCACGGATTGTTATCGGGGATGAGAGCTGGATCATCAGGCATCTCCCAGATCCATGGAAGGATCCCGCGGGCTTCCTTTCCGGGTGTTAATGTCGTACAGGTAAATCCTTTTGCTGCTTGCGCGTTGCGAGTCGCTCTTTTTTCAGTGGCGAATTCGACGGCAGGCGGCCAGGCGGGATCCTCTTCCTGTGCGCCAAATGGTATAACATGTATGCTGCACTAGACGAGAAGCTTGAACAGGTCGGCGATGATCAAGAGAGCTACGTTCTCTACGGCGTGTTGCTCAATCGGGGATACCGAGTCTCGTTTTACAAGTGGGAGCGGCATCCTGATGGCACGGTCACAAAGGCGGCGTGGAACACAATCTACACTTTCAGGCGTTCATACGAAGCGCGTGAGCCATTCGGGGCATGCTCAACGAAGTGCAGGATAACAGCGACCTCGAAGTTCTTGAGGGTAGCATAGATGAGTGAGAATGCGGATCCAAAGTGGCGTGACTACCCTCCTATAGAGTTTGACGATCCGAGACTATAGCCCTCAAAGACCGGGGAGGGATGCCTTCAAAGATATCCATCCGCGAGCGAGCCGCGAGCAGCTCAACGGCGACAACTTTCTTGCCGACTAGAAGCAGGACAAAATCTGGCATCTAGTAGCGCTCCTTCACGCAAAAATCACAGCACACTCGCAAGCTCCTTGCGAATATGCTCAAGGCGACCATCCGGGCATCTTGTAGCGCTCATGCACGCAAAGATAAGATCGGCCTCCCTGCAACGCTAAGACCTGATATGATCGCGCATTTTAGATATGCCGGGGCATGGCGACGCTCCTCCCACACTGTCCGATCCATCTCGCTTCCCTTCTTATGCATCCTCAAAGGAAAACGGAGCCCTAACGATCTGTTCGTAGAGAGAGATAGGAAGACCGGGGTGTTGACGATTCGAGTGCTGCTGTCAATGATGATCGAACAGCGAGAAGACAAAAGCTGGATGAGAAAACCACGACCCTTCCCACGATCCGGAGCTGCAATAGGATTCCTTCAGCTAATGTAGAGCAGCTGACCGAGATGTTTGAGGGAGATGTATAGAGGATCCAGAAGATTCTGGTCTATAAGCGAAAGGTGATGTTTCTCTTCTTCTTTCTCTTGTAAATGATTTTCAAGGAATTTCTTTTCGTTCACAATTCAGACCACGCGGAAAATCGCTCCTGTGGGTACGAAAGTCTCGTTATCTCCTTCGATGTTCCAAAACAAACAGTCTTTTCTCTTCGACCGAAGAATCATCTTATAACCTTGCGTTCTTGTAGGTGCTCCTCCAAGAAGGACGCATTGGAAAAAGTTACTCTAGGCTCTTCGTGCATTGCTTAAAGAAGTCACGGCCTGAGGCAAGTCCATCAAAATTCCATGTAGCTGGAGAAATCCTGATTTCTCTGTTTGTAACGACTTTTTTTTTCAGATAATAGCTTCGTTGATGGTGCATCGGTAGAAATCCCGGGAAAATGGTGACGCTGACGATGATTGGTTCACGGGTAGGGCGAGCCCGTGCCAGTGAACCGCCTTAACGTGCACGTGGCGAGCCCGTTGAGGCAGTACACTTGGCAACCCGTAAGTGGAGGTTTAAGTCAGTCCAATTAAACATTACCATGTGTACTAAGATTTGTCTGGCAGTACATGTTCTTGAGGCCACAACAAACCACATAAGATCATAGCGACTCAGTAGTAAAATTCTCGCAAATAACAAAACTTGATCTGAAAGCTGCAAACAGCCGGAGCACCTTAAGGGGCGAGTCATTGGCGACAATGGTGGTGGAGTTACCCAGCAACGACGGTGGAGGCTGGAACACTGGCAACAATGGTGGCGGAGGCTGGAACACCGGTGAAGATGGTGGTGGAAATGGCTGGGGCAGTGGAGAAGTTTGTGATAACAACGCTACTTGGGGTGGTAGCACTGGAGAAAAAATGCCCGGCAAAACTCCTGGAGAAAGCAACGAGCACCCCGCGCCAAGACGGTGAAGGAGCACAAGGATGACATGATAAAAGAGTGGTGCCTCAGCTCCTATGCATAAGAAGAGACATGGGGTGGATTTTCTGGCAACACTGAGTAGTAAGTTGTGGCAGAGTGTAAGAAATCAAAGCTCCTCTACATGCGCGTTTGAAATTCAAATCCTGTAGGAGGTGGTGATCTCGATTGCCCGGGTAGTGTGGCTGACTTGTATCGTTTTCTTTCTTCACCTGAGCTTAATAATACAAAGGCCATGCAGTCGTAAACAACATGAAACACATCTTCCACCTGACCTGTTTGGCATAAGCGACAAATGCGAAGATGCAGGGGTGTTCTTAGTCCCATTTCTACAAGGAGCATATGATCGCATCGATATGATGCCAGGGTGTGTGGCAGAACGTCACAGAACTCATTGAGCACGTAGACCCAGGTTTAGCCGCTGACGGAGCTGGCAAGAGTATATCATCGGCATAGAGCAGCGCATATAGGTGCATGCCAGAGAATTGGTAAGAAGTGAGCACCTTCCCCTGCAACATCCACGTAGATGGCGAACAAAGTTGGGGATAGATGGCGTACACCGATGTGTGACTCAATCGGCAGGCTGTCAAAGATTTGCAATTGCACCATCCGATATAGTTCAAAGATAGCAAGTCCACATATCCCAGGAAAAGGACTCGGTTCCATTCTTTAGTGTCAGGAGTTGGTCTTTACAAGAACAAGGCCTCCGGAAACCCTTCCCACTCCTTTCCATCCAACTAGAGAGCTCTTTCTCCAGCAAGCAGGCAAATATCTTTGCAAAAATGTGGCCACATCCAATGTTTTGTAGCTGGTGACAACAGAGGGATCCCCGGATTTGTATAGGAGGATAACTCTATTGACCGTCCAGGCCATGGGGAAGCCTCTATTTAATTAAAGATCTCCACTAGCAATCCACCCTGGCCCCGCAAATCCAAGAGGTCCTGTATGCAAATGTACATGGATCATGTCGTATCCACACGCCATATGGTTGTTGCATTTACTGTAGCGTCGCTTTTGGCCGCGTGCTATCTTTGCAAAGCACTTGCGGAGCTTGAGAACTGTGGCAGGGAGTTCACGGGCAAAGACCTATTGGTGGTGAGCTTCAGCCAAAAGAGCTCTGGATTTAAATTCGAAAGCACCACCTAGTGATTTGCGAGGTTTGCGGGGCTTCAGAAAAGCACCGCGCTCAGTCTTATCCTCAGGATTTGCAGTAAGATCGCACAATTGCCCGGAAAGCTTCAGCATTGAGATATAAGAGCACAGCTACGGCGATCTTTCCATGCCGTGATGCGATAAGCCGCTATTATTGCAGTCCAGCTATGTTTTTGTATGTGATATATATTGAGATCACGTTGAAATTTGAATGGTTTAAGTTTCCCAGTCATGACGACGACCCTCCCAACACCTTCCACTGAAAGAGAGGTTGGAATTGTTGCTTCATCGATCTTCCAGTTATGAACACGTTCTATCATCTCTATGAACTCCCAGTGTGAATTGTAAGACTTCTTGATGTTGGTATCACAACTCAATTCTTTCTCATCCCAGAAAACTTTGCTTTGTTAGAGTTGAAATCTATAAAACCAGAAGGAAGAATTAATGCACAAGATGCAAACCTTCCCATTGATCCCAAGGTAGATAAGAAATTAAAGCTAAACCCAAGCCCCGTATCTAGAAAATCCTTCCACCACGAATTTTGATTTGACATCCCTGTAGTTTTCTAGATTTCTGGAAAAAAAAAAACTCATCCATAGGATGGAAAATCACATTCTTTTATGCGTAGTTGGTTGGTAGGGACATAATTGGCCATAGCATCAATTTACCACTCCAGTTATCACTTACTATGAACAACATAGCTTTACATAGCTTTGGAAATGAATAAAAGAGAAATTTACCTCAAAATCCATGATTTTAGGGCTCTTCTTCTTGGACGATGAAGAGGCGCCCTGGGATCTCGGGATTGCATTCCGCGGCTGCAGCTAGGGTATGCGATTGTTTCAGCTGTGGGGATCGGACGCTGTGCTTTCGTTGATTCCAGGATCAGTATCGATCTGTTGGCGAGAATGTGGCGAGAATCCGGACAGATCTTCTCAAAGATCAGCTGGCGACGTTTAGGACGCAGCTAGAAGAATTTGCGCGCAAGCACAAGGTATGGGAGTGGAATCGTGAGCGTGAATGGGATTCAAGGTATTTGCTTTGGTTTGTTTCTTAGCATGATATCAAGAAGAATCCAGCGTTCCGGGCTCAGTTCCATGAGATGTGTTCCAAAGTCGGGGTCGATCCTTTAGCGTCCAACAAAGGCTTCTGGGCCGAGCTTCTAGGAATTGGAGATTTTTACTACGAAATTGGTAAGTTTTCTTCGTGTTCTCCCTTTTTTTGGTTGATGAGTCTCAGCTCGCAGGTGTCCAGATTGTAGAGATCTGCCTTGCGACTCGATCTCACAATGGAGGACTAATTGATCTCAACGAGCTCTGCTCGATGCTATCCAAGAAGAGACGAACGTCCCGGGAGCCGATCACTACCGATGATTGTCTCAAGGCGATTGACAAGCTCAAGGTATGGAAAACACGAGAAAACCTGGGCAGAAAAAACTTCGTTGGATCAATTCTGTTCGCTTCTTCTTCTTTTTGTTTTCCATTTATTTGTTTGCAGTGTGATGGGTTATCTTTCGATGATTTTGCAGACTCGTCAACCATTCGTCCCATGACGGCTTATTTGCAGGTACTCGGAAGTGGCTTCGAGGTTTTCACCGTCGGCAAAAAGAAACTCGTTCGCTCTGTTCCAACCGAGCTCAACAAAGACCACAACCAAATCTTAGAACTCGCAGAGGTGATTGAAACTTTTGAGACTACGTATCTTATACTCTTCTTTTTTTACTTCCAGGTCCGTGGATTTGTTCTGGTTGAAGACGTAGAACGCGCTCTATCGTGGCATCCCGGTCGAGTGATCGATGCTTTGGAAACATTGATGAAGGTGAGACACTCTCAGAATTCTTCACTAGTTTCCAATCAGGGAAAACGTTTAGTTGGTTTGATCATTCTTTCGTTTGTTTCTAATTCTTTTTCCACTACAGGAAGGCCTGGTGATGATTGACGATGGACACCCTGATAGGAAAAGAAGGTATTGGTTTCCTTGTGTTAGTCTCAGTTCTAGCAATGCGGAAGAACTCTAGAAAGATCGAAGCTGTGAATACAGTCCCGCCATTCTTTGGCTTTCTCCTTTCCTTTCGCGGCCTTCCAGTTGGCGATCCTTCTTCTGGAAGGAGTCTACCTGATGTCTGGAACGATCATCAGGTACATAAATTCTAGAGCCTCTTTCATTTTCCATGTTTTTTATGGACACTCTTGAACAGGTTTTACGTTGCTTATTTCCTTGCAGACGCTGCTCAGGTGCGCTTGGTGTGATGCAACTTTCTGCCCGATCATCTACCCAGCAATACAAGAGTTTTTTCAACAAAGTGAACTCTTGCCCCAGTTTTTCAAGCGACAGGGCCACTATGCCGACGCTGTAGTGTCGTACAGAGAAGCACTGCGAGCCGGCTCGAAAACGCTGTGCTCCTGGCTGGCAACTTGGCGTGGCCTTATACGGTGGTATCGAAGCAGCGCCTTGTCTGAAGCAAAAACGTTAAAGAGGCCATCTTGGTGCTGATAGATGCTGCCAAGAAATCCATGGTCGCCAGGATGACGAGGTGCCTGGAAGTTCTGCTTTGCTCTAGCGACGTGCAGGCATTTGGAAGAGTGTGCTTCCGGCGATCATCAAGACGCTCAAGGTGGCCATGAAGAGCGCTACAAAGTTTCTTGAAGCAAGCGGATAGAGGTTCCTAAGCGAGTTGCAGACGAGCATCCCGGAGCTGAATAGTCGACGCCGCCATAGATTGTAACGAGTGTTTGTAAAAGGCCAAGTTTTTGGACGTGGTACTTGAGCTTTGCAACTCTCCTAAATTTCTCATTAGAGAAATGCCAAAGAAGGGCATTTGTTCTCCCTTGAAATTCTCCCTTCTAGAAGTGCTCATTTCGAGGGAGCTCATGGTAAAAATCAAGGTAGGGATGGTATAAAAAAAGTATCACCACACAATTCATCATCCGAGCAGCACAGCATAATTTCTTGCCTCCCCCTTCAATTTTTACCTCCCTTTTTTTAACTTTGTGGCAGCTTTAGCAAGTCAAGCATTGATGTTTTGGAGCTAGAGCTCCCCTGTACATATACCAACCAGGGATCTCTCCTCATACGCACGCATTCTCTCCCAATGAGTAGTGAGACGATCCCCAAGTCTCGCTGCTAGCAATCGAGCGAGCGATGATCTAGCGATCTTGACCTTTGAGAGAGCTTCCTGCAATTCGAATTTGCTCCCCTGCAAGGAAGAGGAATCCGTGGTACCTCGATCGGTTGAAGCATTTGTGCGCATTCAATCGAATCGAGGCCTGGTTGCGTTCGCTCAGATCCAATTCCTCCCTTGCAGCAGATCAATCGGTACGTACCTGATCGAATTGGAGCGAGAGACGGCGATGGCGGTGAATTGGGGATCCAATTTCGCAATGTGGGTGATTCTAGCCATGGTCCTGACACTCGCAAGCTCGAGCTCCTCCCAGCTCTCGTTCGGTTTCTACAAGAAATCTTGCCCGGGGCTGGAGAGCACGGTGAGATCGACGATCATGAGCAGCCTCTTTGGCGATCCCACCGCCGGGGCGGCGCTCCTCCGCCTCTCCTTCCACGACTGCCAAGTCGGGGTAAGCTAGATAGACTTTATCGAGAGAGCTGGCCACTGACATCCTCGATCAATTTCCATCCAGGGCTGCGACGCATCGATCCTGCTCAACAACAAGGGCTCCATCACCAGCGAGATGGCGTCCGATCGAAATTTCGGCGTCCGGGAGCTCGCGATCATCGATCGGATCAAGGCGGCGGTGGACGCGCAATGCGGCGGCGGAGAGGTCTCGTGCGCGGACATCGTCGCGCTAGCGGGCCGGGACGCCGCGGCGATTGCTGGCGGCCCGGATTTCCCCATCCAGCTCGGGCGGAGGGATGCCACATTCGCGAGCAATCGCGCCGCCGACGCGGCGCTGCCCCCGCCCACGATCAGCGTCGACAAATTTCTGGATATCTTCCGCGCCATGGGCATGTCCATCGAGGAGAGCGTGGCGATCATGGGCGCGCACACGCTGGGCGTCGGCCACTGCCTCAACATCGTCAATCGCCTCTACCCGACCCTGGATTCCAACCTCAATCCCTTCTACGCGGCGCGCCTCCGGATCAGCTGCCCCGTCTCGGATCCGCGATTCATTCTCAACACCACCACGGTGATGAACGATTTCACCAGCTTGCGATTCGACAATCGCTACTACCAGGAGGTGAGCTCCAGGCTCGGGCTCTTCAGCATCGACGCGGCGCTGGGCCAAGACTCGAGAACCAGCACCGCGGTAGCGAAATTCGCCCAGGACCAGAACCAATTCTTCCAGACATACATCACCGCCTACCAGAAGCTCACCGCCCACAAGGTGCTCACGGGCAGTAGCGGCCAGATCAGGAAGAACTGCCGCTACGTGAATTGATTCGTTTGTTCTCCCCTGTTCTTCCCTCGCTGTTTCCTTCGTCATACCCTGCATTTTCCCTGGTCATACCCCACCTTTACCTCCACGTCACCATTTTTGTAGAAAAAGAACCGGAATTTTGCCCGGAATAAAGATTTAAACGAGTGGTTGTGGATGTATCATCGTCTGGGGCAGATTTCTTTCGTCCCATGCGCAATGGCGCTGGCATCGCGGCATGGCGTCCACGCTCTCGGCGCGCCATCGCCATTCCTCCACCGGAGGAGCGGATTAAATCCTCTTCCCAGCAGGAACCACGTCGCGATCGCCAGGAGGAGTAGTCTCATCCGGGCCAAGAAATTGGAATCGTCGTCGCCGTCTTCCTCCGGTAAGAATGTGAAGCAACCAGATTCTTCCTCCAAGGTCGCGATTTCGGATGACAAAGCAGAAATCCGGAGCGAAATCCTCGTCGTCGTCGAATCCCACTCCAGCTCCTTTTCCCAACGACGATTATTTCGATCCAGGAATGGTTCCAGATTTCTGGGAAGGGCCGCAGTGGAACTGGCTGGGATTCATCCTGCAGTATCTCTGGGCGATTGGAATCGTGGTAGCGGTAAGTCGCCATTCTTGTCCAATCTTTGCTTGTCTTGATTTGCTCGAGCAGGTCATCACTTGCGGGATCCTGTTCGTAACTTACAAGCCTAGAGAGGCCGATTATAGGTTCCGGGAACCGCCTAGCTTGGAGGACGTAAAAAAAATCCTGGATGAGCGTCGCAGTCCCGGCGAGGTTGAAGAACAGGCAGCACCAGCTCCACAAATCGAAGAAGAAGCGTCCAAATTCGAGGAGGAAAAAGAGCCCGAGATCAAGGAGGCCGAGGTGGTGGAGTCCGAGATAGTGGAGCCCGAGCTCTCCATCAATTAGTACCAGAGCTATACATGTACGTGACATCTTCATTCGTTTTACTTTCCTTTGTTTTCTCACGTTTGTCACAGGGATCTATTCGGATACGCCGTCGAAAACAAGCACAGGTTACGAGCATCACAGCGCTAGTGAGTTCTTTCCAAAATTTTCTCGCGAATTTTTTACGCAAGTTCTTCGTTTTCATCCGAAATCTAATCCAACTAGCAGAGTCGAGGCTTTCAATCGTCTCATCTTTCATTCCAGGTGGAGTAGCCGAGAACTACCAGATCACAGCAATAGTTCTCCAACTCTCACGCAAGTTCTTCATTCTCCTCCTCCTGATCGAGTGATCCATCGTCACAAACGATCAAGTTCGCGAGCATCACATACGCTGACGAGTCCTCGGGCTTCAATCCCGACACCTCTCTCGCCGCACTCGCAGCCTGCTGGTCACCGCCCTGCGATCCTCCCAGCAATGACGCCCAGATCGCAGCGTCGGGATCAAACGGCAAGCTCCGGATGAGCTCCTCCGCCTCGCCCAGCAGCTTGCTCCTCCCGAGCATGTCGATCAAGCAGCAGAAGTGATCCTTGTTGGGGACGATCCCGCGGGTCTCTTGCATCAACACGAAGCATCCCCGGCCTCGTTCCAGCAGCCCCGAGTAGCTACACCCGGCGAGCAGCGACACGAAGGTGGCATCGTCGGGAGCAACACCCTCGAGCTCCATCGCTCGCTGGAGATCGAAAGCCTCGTCGCAGTGTCCGTTCTGGGCATACGCGTGGATCATCGTCGTCCAGGAGACTGGATCCCTGTGAGAAATCCGATCGAACGCGAGCTTCGCCTCGGCTACGTCCCCGGATCTGGTGTACCCAGCGATGAGCAGCGTCGAAGACACGATGTTCCACTCCGGCATGCTCTCGTAGATCGCTCGAGCCTCGCGGAGCTGGCTCGTCTGGATCAACGACTGGAGGATCGAATTCCACGCCGAGAGATCCCACTGCGGCATTCTCTGGAACGCCGCTCTCGCCCAATCGTGGTGACCATTCTCGACGTAGGCCCGGATGAGCGCCGTCCAGCAGATCCCATCGCGCTGGAGCAGCGCCATACCATCGAAGATCCTGTGCGCTACCTCTGGGTCCCCTCGTTGGGCATACACCGCGAGCATCGACGTGCGCGCCACCAAATCATCCTCTCGCATCGCCAGAAAGATCTCTTCAGCACGATCGGGATCGCGGCTCTCGGCGTAAGCGACCACCATCACTGTCCAGGAGACCACATTCCACGCCGGCATCACTTCGAAGATCGCTCGAGCTTCCTCCGGATGCCCGCTCTGGGCGTACGCTCGGATCGCGGCATTCCACGCGATCACGTCGCGCTGCTGGGTCTGATCGAAGGCATCCTTCGCTTTCCCAGGATCTTGGGCGAGGCCGTAAGCTCTGACGATCAGCGTTTTCGAGACGGCATCACACCCCGGCATCCTGGAGAAGACACGCTCCACCGCGGAGATATGCCCGTTCTGGGCATACGCTTGGATCATCCCGTTCCACGCCGCGAGATCCCGCTGCTCCATCGAATCAAAGAGCTGCTTGGTTGCCGAGAGATCGCCCTCTTGCGCGTGCGCCATCGCCATCGCAGTGCACGAGACTGGATTCCACTGCGGCATCCGGTGGAACACACCCAGAAGCTCCGCCAGATTGCCACTCTCCGCCCAGCCCTTGGCGATGGTGTTCCAGGAGACGATGCCACGGCCGGGCATCTCCAAGAACGCGCGCCTTGCTCGGCGGAGGCAGCCATTCTGGACGTAGGCCGCGATGAGGATGTTCCAAGAGTAGGGATTGGGGTCGGGGATGGCCAAGAACACGCCCTCCGCGTCGTCGACACTGCCGCATTTGCCATACATCTCCACCAGGAGATTTGCCAGTAATCGATCGTGGCGGAGCTCGCAGCCAGCGATTCTCGCGTGGATCTCCCTCCCCCTCGCGATGTTCTTGGAGTCGCCGCAAGATTTGATGAGAAGAGAGAGCTCGGCGTCGATCCCTGGAAGAACCCTTCGCATATCGCAAGGATCGATCGAAATTTCGATTCCTCCTCACGATCTACTCGACCATCTGTGCCTGATTGAGAAGAACGTAGGGGGCCGATCGATCCGGGGTGAGGTGCGCGATCCTCGTTGCGGCCTTGGATCCCCGCGATGGATCGCCGTGGACGCGGCAAGCGCCGAGGAGCGTCGTCCAGGAGATTTCGTCCTCCTGGAACGGCATCTCACGGATGAGATCCTCGGCGTCGTGGAGCTCCCTCCCGGATCGACCGAGAAGATCGATGAGACAGTGGAAGTGCTCGACGCGCGGCTGGATGTCGTGATCCTGGAGCATCGAATGGAAATACTGGCGAGCGCGCTCGAGAGATCCGCCATGGCTGCATCCGGCAAGAACGCACAGGAATGTGAGCTGATTCGGGCGCATGGATTCCAGTAGCATCGCGTGGAAGAGCTCCAGCGCCTCGCGAGGATGCCCGTTCTGCGTGTAGGCATCGATCATCGTGGTCCAGGAGATCACATCCCTATTTGGCATCGCATCGAAGGATCGCCGCGCTCGATCCAGATGCCCGTGCTGCGACAGCGCTTCGGTCATGGCATTCCACGCCGTCACGTCCCTCCACGGCATCCGATCGAAAATCTCCGCGGCCTCGGCAAGATTTCCACTCGCCGCGTGAGCCTGCGCCATGGCGTTCCAAGAAACAAGATCCCGCCCTGGAATCCTGTCGAACTCCGCGATCGCGGCGCTCAATCCCCCCGGGCTCCACGCCAGCGCGACGATCATCGACGTCGCGCTGATCACGCTGTGCTGCGGCATCCGATCGAAAGCGCGCCTCGCGTCGCCCGGAAACCCTAGCTGCGCGAACGCCGCGATGAGCGTGTTCCACGACGCCGCGTCGCGCTCCGGCATGGAATCGAAGCACTCACTCGCGGATTCCAGCTCGCGATTGGAGACGCACGCTTGCATCAGCGCGTTCCAAGTGACCACATTGCGCTGGGGCATGCTCGAGAAGATTCGCCTCGCATCTTCCAGATACCCGTTCTCGGCATATGCTTGGCACATTGCTGTCCACGATACCACATCCTGCGCGGCGCTGGCAAAGAATATCCTCTCCGCCTCGTCCACATTGCCGGCGCCTCCGTACGCCACTATCATGGCCGTGGACGCCGTCGCGTCACTTTCGGCCATGAGGCCCATCACGGAGCTGGCACCAACAAGATGCCCTCTTTGGGCATATGCGACGACCATGGCCGTACAGGGAGTGGTGCTTAGCTGGGGCATCTTTAAGAGCATCTTCTTGGCGAGGTCCAGTTGCCCAGACCGCGTTAGCGCTCGTGTGATTGATACCCAAGAGAGGGCATTCTTGGCGGCCATTTGGACGAAGAGCTTCCATGCCTCGTAGGGTTTGCCATTCTTGCCATAGGCGAAGATCAGGTTGTTCCTGGAGAATGTGTTTGGCGATCGCATCGCGGAGAACACCGCCTCCGCCTCCTCCAATCCGCCGCAGCTGCCATACATCTCGATGAGGAGATTGTGGAGGAATGTGACGCCGCTGTGGGCGCTGGTGAGGATTTGATCGTGTGCGCGGCGGCAGCAGGCTAGATCGCCGGAGCTGGTGCTGTTCTTGATGATCTTGGCAAGGGCCGGCACGTCGAGAAGCTCTCTCTTGGATTGGCCGCCCAGGGCGCGAGTGATCTGCTTCAAATCCATTGCCAAGATCGCCGATGCTGGGCATCACGACGTCGATTCCTTCGCTCGCACCGTCATGCAATGCTCCAGAGACAGGGATTTCGGCCAGGGTAAGATCGTTCACTGCCAAATCCAGCAGACGCTCCACAGGCACGATAGGTTCCTCTCCAATCTCCTCGTCGAGATGTACGCGCGCTGTGGCAAGATCGAGGAGGCTATGGCGGTGTTTGAGTCGATCTCCTCCCCAAATATTTACTCCTGGAACATGATCCTCGCGGCCTTCGCCACAAACGGGCATCCAGATCGAGCGGCCGCAACATTCCACCGGATGCCACAGCGCGATGTCGTCAGCTGGAACCAGATCCTCCAAGCGACAGCTCCGATCAGCTATGGCGGCGGCTATGGCGTGTTTTTGAGGATGCCAATGCACAATGTGATCTCTTGGACGACGCTCATCGTGGCTTCTTCACACCAAGGGCATTTGCGGGAGGCCAAGGATCTCTTTGACAGGATCCCATCGCGTGATCCACTCTGCTGGAACACGCTAGCGCAGGGCTACATTCTCGTCGGATTGATCACTGCCGCCATTGGTGTCCTTTTCAAGATGCCACTCCACAATCTCTTCTCGATGAACGCGATGGTCACAGCCAGTGCCGCGACCGGGGATCTAGTCGGCACTAGGAAGGTCTTCGAGGAAGTGATCGCGGAGAGAAATCTGGTGACTTGGAACACGATGCTAGCAGTCTACTCCGGCACTCTCGACGAATCCAACAGGATTTTCGCGAGGATGCCTCATCACGACATGATCTCCTGGAACTCTATCGTTACAGCGCACTGCCGGCACGGCCTCGTCGATCGCGCCGGTGATCTCTTCCACAGGATGCCAGAGAAAAGCATCGAGGCCTGGAACAGCCTCGCTCGATCCAAGGCCGAGAACGGGCAGCTCCAAGAAGCGGTAGAGCTGCTAGAGTCGATCGATCGACTGGATCTCTTCGCATCCAACACAATGATCCTCACTTATGGCGAGGCCGGTCGACTGGATCGGGCAAAACGAGCTTTTGATCATATGCTCCAGAGGGATGTTGTCTCATGGTCATCGATGATCACAGCGCTTGCCCAAAGCGGGCATTTGGATGCTTCGCTCTCGGGCTTTGATCGAATGCCCGCGCGAGATGTTCCGGCTTGGAACGCAATGATCCAGAATTTGGGCCAGCTTGGATGCACAAGAAAATCAAAGTTTGTGTTTGATCAGATGCCGGAACGAGGGCTGGAGTCTTGGACAACGCTCATCTCAGCATTTGCCGCGCACGGGCATTTTCACGAGACGAAGCTTGTCTTTGATCGGATGCCACAGCTCGCGATTCACTCCTGGACGCTCCTTTTGGGTGTGATTGCAAGGCAGGGAGACATTCACGATCCAGCATCCATCCAGAAAATCGAGCAGCATCACGACGTGGTTTCCGCGACTGCAATCGTCTCAGCCTATGCTCGAAACGGGCATTTTAGTCTAGCGATGGTTTCTCTCAGATCGATGCTGCTCCTGGGATTGTCTCCCAATGAGGTAACCTTCACTGCTACTCTTGCGGGGTTGAGCGACGCAGGGCTCGTAGAAGTCGCCCGAGACCACTTTGTCTCCATGGGCGTGGACTATTTCGTGGCTCCCAACGAGGAACACTACGCTTGCCTCGTCCAGCTCCTCGGCAAGGCCCGCCAGATTGAGAGGGCTGAAGAGCTGCTCTACACCATGCCGTTTGTGCCGGATATGGTGGCTTGGACGAGCTTGCTGGATGCTTGCCGGGCATTTGGGGAGATCGAGCGAGCTATCCGGCTTGCAAGAGCGGCAATAGAGTGGGATCCTGGACAGTCGCAGCCTTACGTCGTTCTTCACAACGCATTTGCCGAGGCCAATGTGGAGAAGAACTTCGCGAGATGATGGAAAGCTTTGATCCCATCACTTTGGAACACTCTTCCAGCCATCGGACAAGAGCAAGTATGGAGCCGGCCAGGACCCAGTGTCGCTCTCGTCCTCCAGCGAGAGCCCGGTCACTCGCTCCAACAGCTCGGCATCTCCATACACTCGACAAGCACCAAGGAGGCTCGTCCATGCCACCTCGTTGGGAACGTAAGGCATGCTCTGGACGAGCTCCTCCGCCCAGTCGAGGCGCTTGGATCGCCCCAAGCTGTCCACCACGCAGCAGTAGTGATCCAGCTCCGGAGCGATGGCGTGATCTGCCACCATGCTCAAGAAATGGATCCGACATTCCTCCGGGAGCCCGGCGTGGCTGCAGCCGCTGAGAATCCCCCTGTAAGTGTGATCGTTGGGCTTGATCCCCTCCTGGAGCATCGCGTAGAGGAAGCCAACAGCGTCGGACAAGAGCCCAGTGTTGGCAAATGCTTTGATCATCGAGTTCCACGCGACGAGATCCCGGGTGATCATTTGATCGAAGAAATGTTTGGCTTGATCGATGTTTCCTCCTTCTGAGAATGCGACCACCATAGCCGTCCAGGAGATCACGTCTTTCACTGGCATTTGATTGTAGAGTTTCTCCAGAGAATCCAGATCCCCCGACTGGACAAATGCTTGGAGCATCGCGTTCCAGGCAGCCACATCCCAGCAAGGCATTCTTCCAGAGAGAAGCTCCGCCATGGCCTCCTGGGCGCGCCCATTCTCGATGTAGCCCTGGAGCAGCGAATTCCAAGAGATTTGGTCGCGATGGGGCATGGCGTGGAAGACGAGCCTCGATTCTTCCAGATTGGAGCTCCTGGCCAGCGCCGAGACGAGCGCATTGCTCGACCCTAGCGTCCACTGCGGCATCCGGTAGAAGGCCTCCCGGCATTGCTGGAGATCGTTACCTTGTTGCGCGTGGGCCAGCGCCAGCGCTGTCCAGGTGATCCAGCTCTTCCCCGGCGATCGATCGAAGAGCGCTTTCACCGCTCCAATCTCTTGCGCGCACTGGATCGTCGCGTTCCAGCTCGCGACATCACACTGGGGCATTCGATCGAAGAAAGCCCTAGCACTCGCAAAGTCCCTCGCCTCGGCATTTGCGGTGATCATAGCCGTCCACGTTACCACATTTCTCTGCGGCATGGATGTAAACACGTGGACCGCCTCCTCAATATGACCGTGATGAGAATATGCCGTGATCATTGCGTTGCATGTCACTACATCGAGGGAAGACATTCTCGCAAAGACTTCTCTAGCTCGTGAAAGATGCCCAATTTGGGCATATGCTGAAAGCATACAGTTCCAAGATACCCTGTCTCTCGACACCGAAGCATCAAACGCATCTTTCGCTTCTTGGATATGCCCGTTCTGGGAATATGCGCCCAGCAACGCCGTCCACGAGAACTGGTTTGGATTTGGAATCTTATCGAAAACCTCCCTCGCTCGCTGTATATCCCCACACTGGCCATACATGTCGATCAACAAATTCGCAAGGTATCGATCACACCAAGAGCTCTTGCTGGCCAAGATTTTTTCGTGGAGTGAAATCCCACGGGATAGATCCTTGGCAGTTCCACAGCTTCGTATGCTGGCAGCAAAGTTTTGTGACAAGATCCTTTGCATTCCTTGATGAAAGATTCCTTCATTTTGTTTCTTGCTATGTGAATATGCCTGGAGATGCTCGTAAGGTTCGATTCCTGTCACACACAATGATGCTTTATGGAGTGGTACCGCGACACTTTCATCAGGCACGCACGCCCTCCTAGTCTTCTCTTTTTTCTCACTTTCTTTACAAAACTTTATAGATTGTTTGGTACAAAGGCAAGTCAGGCGTTGCCCACCGTGATATGATTCAGATGGCGATGGGGGTCGCAGGGTTCCAATCAATGTCACTAGTGGAGCTGTGGATTTGGATCAATCAAGGCAACAAGAAGATTTAAAAACAAGAACCCCAAAAGAAGAACTGACCACTAACAGTAACTTCCACTGGTCAAACAGTGAACTTCTAAGTTCTCCTCCATGAAACCTCCAGTTCCAATCAATCCATTCATCACAAAGTGGCAGCAGCAGTAATGGGATCAAAGATTTGCAAGATAAAAAATCTAAAAACCTTTGACTCACTGTTACCCCAACTAACACTGACAGTAACTTCTTCTTCAGAAAGGTGGAAGTTTCTAGGGTTCCAGACACATATAAAGGAGGAATTACGGTTTCTTGCGAGTAATCGATGTGACGACGCAACAAATATTCCAGAGGACAGCGAGGAATAATCTGGCTATGGACAGAGGATCACATGCCGTTGTGGCAGAGAATGGATCATACGGCCGCGATCCATGGCATTGTTTAGATGATTTTTACGCCAAAGTTTACCTCACATGCACCACCATGTTTGCCAAGCTAGCCGACGCCCTTAGTTTTTTACCAGCCTTTTCTTATGGAGAGATCTTCGCCATTAAAACTCGCGGATCCTCGTTAAACTTTAGCGCCCGTTTAAGGATTGGCGGCCTGGATTCTCCCCGGCGCTGAATCCGACGATTTCAATCTTGCCACGTGTGTGATGGGTTCTTCGTTTGATCGCGCGTGCACTGTTGGTTTGGTTCTTCTTCTTCGTCTCCTGCGAGCGCGCAGTGGCCGCGTTATTTCGTTCTTCCGGGCGAGCGGTAGGGTTAGGGCGAGGGGATCGCGAGAGGATCGCGAGAGCTCGCGCGCGCGAAGCTCGAGATTGTCAGGCGCCGGGGAGGAATCGGCGTTTCTTGCATGGCATTTTGCTCGGTGGAGCGCGAGCTTGGGAATTTGGCCCCGGATTGCTGGTAAGCGGCCGATCCCTCTCCAATGCGGGTCAAGAATCAAGGAAAGCCTCGCTCGGAATTTCATGCTTGTTTTTCCATCCATTTCGTTGCTACAGTGCCTGTCGCCTCCGTCCTCTCGGTGACAGAGATCTGACGGCGGCCAGCCATCATCAAGAGTCTTCGGTGAATCCAGGGGTTTGGATGCTTGCTGTTGTTGCTTGCTTTCGACGGGGCGTGGGAATTTTCGATGGGATTGCATGGAACTAGTGCTTGGAGGTGTGTTCTTGTCTTCTTGTCGCACTGGATTGCAAGAAGTTTCTCTTAATCTATCTAAGTGTTTGTACAAACATCTGGTGACAGGACCCGTCTTCTATGATCCAACTTGAAGAGCCTAGCTATGAAGAGCGGTGATCTTCGTCTCGTCTGCAAAGAGCCTAGAGTCATGGATTATACTCCGTGCGACTTGGAAATCCAAGTGAACGAGGAACACACATTCTTTCTACGCCAGGTAGCCTTTGGCTTCTCTGTGATTCTTTGGAAGTTTTACTGAGAATCTCTTCTCTTTTTCTTTGTTTGACAGAAACCTCTCGCTACTTACTCTGGTCGGCTCTCAAAGATATTTAGGCGTGTAACTCTAAGAAGCGATGGCAGTGGTCTGCCTAGGATACTTCTTCACGACTTTCCAGGTGGGGGTGAGGCCTTTGAACTGGCCACTAGATTCTGCTACGATGGCGGACGGATCGCCATCTCCAACTCCAACGTCTCCGTGCTCAGGTGTGTTGGGGAGTTTTTAGAAATGACGGAAGCTTATGCTCGGGGAAACTTGGTTAAACAGGCCGAGATGCATCTCCAAAACCTGGGAAACGACTGGGATAGCAATCTTACAGTGCTCAAAGGTTGCGACGCCGTACTGCCGCTGGCGGAGAAGACCCACATTGTCCAGAGGTGTGCGGACACCATCGCCTGGAAGATTTGTAGCAGCTTGGAAGACATGAGCCCGCTCTCCTCCTCTCCAGACTCTTACCGGCTTCACAGCGGCAGCATTTCTCGAAGGTCTTCCCTGTCAACGACGGTTCCGCCCAGCCGGACGTGGTGGTTTAGTGATGTCTCATCGCTCTCGGTTTTCCTGATGGAGAGACTGCTCAAGTCACTGATCTACAACGACTTGGACAACAAGCTCCTGGCCAGGTTTTTGATGCACTACTTGAAGACCGCTGTCCCTCTCCATCTCTACAGCGGCTTCTCTGCAAAGCTGAGGTCCGCTCGCGAAGAAACTTTACACAACCGCTCGAAGAAGGTTCACGTAGCAGTCCTCGAGGCCATTGTCAACCTCTTCTTCCACTTGGAGCGGGGGTCTACATCCTGTCGGTCTCTCTTCATCATGCTCAGAGTGGCGACCGTCCTCAACGCCAGCAAACCGTGCAAACGGCAACTAGAGAAGATGATCGGCTCGCAGCTACACGACGTGAATCTAGACAGCATCCTGCTGCCTTTGTATCCCCGCTCCGGCTCGCTCTTCGACGTCGACTTGGTCATCCGCCTGGTGGAGTACTTCTTCCGGGAGCAGGACTCGAGGGGAGCTCTGTGTCTCAAGCAGCAAAATCCACCGGGAGACGCCGCAGCAGTGATGGAGACGCCAGTGATTAGAGTCGGAGACTTGATCGACACTTACCTCGCGGAGATTGCCCCGGACACAAGCTTGAAAGTACACAGGTTTCGCAGGCTTGCGCAAGCGCTACCAGCGTCAGCGAGGTGGACTCACGATGGCCTCTACCGAGCGGTGGACTCCTACTTAGAGGTATCTACGTCTCTAAGTTCTCTCTTTTGACAGCTAATAAGCATCTCTGTTCTTTCTTCACTCAGGCACATCCCGACGTAATGAGCGCGGAAGTTCTATCGCTTTGTCAGGTGCTGGATGTTGGAAAGCTCTCGCTCGATGCATGCAAGCACATCGCAAAGAACCCGAGGCTGCCGTCAATGTTCGTGCTGGAAGTTCTCTCGTTCCAGCAGGGCCGGCTTCGAGAATGCATCGTCAGATCGGACCACAGGGGCTCGAGAGGTGGAAGCCACCGAAGAACGCAGTCGGACATCCCGGATCAAAGCGCTGGAACACACGAGCTCCTCCGCAGCGATCTGGATCAAATCCATTTCAAGGTTGGAGAGCTGGAGAAGGCGTGCAAGAGCATGAGGTCGGACGTTTCCAGGTATAACAGGGCTGCGCGAAGACTCTTGTGCTGATCGCGTGGCGGCGGACGATCGAAGAAGAAATCCAGAGAGAAATCTCCTCAAGAACTTGTTCTAGTGTAAATTACAAGCAGCAATTAACCAATTAAACGCTCTTAGAATCTTTTGGAATCTTTTAAGAATTTAAAATTTCCTTATAAACCCTAGGCCGCAAGCTCGAGACGGAGGAGGGAATGGTGACATTTAGGGTCTCCGAGAAGGAGCCAGCCGTGGTGCCGAGATCTAGGCCCCAGCACGGCCATTTCCTGGAGGGATTCAAAGATTTCCAGGAGGAGGGCTGCTACCAGGTGTTGCAGGGCACCAGTGTCGACGCGAGCGCCTTCCATCCGGTGAAGAATGGCTTCGTCACGAGCGTGATCAGAGCTTACAGCTGCCACCACAATCTGGTGATCCGGCCCGACGATGTGTGGCTCGCCATCGCTGTACAGTTTGGATTCTTTGTCGACGGCAATGCTGAGGCGCTGCGATCCATCTTTGTGGATCACGAGGGCAAGAAGGAGCTGGTTGTGTCCCAGGTGGCGGCGCTCCACAGCGCCGACTATGGGCTCCTGGCGAGGGAGATGAGCGTGGAGCTCAAGAAGAATGTCAAGGACGAGAAGGTCTGTGACTGGATCTTGCCGAGCTTCTCAACTACGACCAAGAACGATGTGATCGCCGGGAGTGTGGTTCTCATGGCCACCTTCAAGAGCTACTTCGAATACAGGCAAGTGTTCTTCATGGATTTTTCCTCTTTTGCTCTTTGTATTCTTTCCTTCCTTGCTTCGGCGTTCGCATGGTTTCATGTTGGCCATGTTTGTTTCTACGTGATTTAGCACTTGTCTTTAAAGCTAACAACTTGTATTGTTCCAGGTTTCGTCTAGCCTGCGGGATCCCTTTCGTGACTCTTCTGGGAACAACCGAGGACTGGGAGGAAATCGATCTGAGAGTGGACGAGCTGGACAAGTATGGTGAGAATTGCAAGAAGTGGCGCGTCATGCTCAAGAAAATCACTGCTCAGTTCGTAGACAGCAGCAAAGGCAACGTTGACACGGAGTTTTGGAACAAGATTTGCCACCACTATGGAGGAGGATCAGGCCCGAGTTACACTTCCGGTTGGATCTCTGCGTTTTGCGTCTTTGACAAGAAGGGGGAATGGCAGGGTGACGTTCCTGAAGTTCATCCGGTCAGAAGATTGGGACGAGATAACACTGCGAAGATGGAGTATCCGTGTATCTTGAGCGGCAGCATTCCTTCCGGCTACCTCACGGTGGATGTCAAGGTGGACGACAACGGGAAAACTTACGAGGCTTTCATGTTTGCGGGGCATATGGGATTTGAGATCGTCCAGAACGATGACAAAGGGATTGCTCCCAAGGTTGTCTGGGCTATAACTCTCAAGAACAAGCTCAAGAAGGCCAAGGTAAGCCATGAACGATTTCTAGCGCTTCTTTTACATGGTTTTTCTTTCGGGGACTTTGCAGGCTGGTTCTTCTGGTTGATCGAGCTGCTGATCAATCTACTAAAAATGTGTTTACCTTTAAAGTTTGTATGAAATTCTAGATTTAGAATTTAAAGTTTCTAAAATCTATGAGCTCTAGAACTCGAGAATGG